TTGGTTGTCAGGCAAATGCCTTTTAGCTTTAGACTTGTATAATATTGATGTTTCGAATACTTGTAATGCAGGTCACTCCCAAGACATTGGCCGATGTGAAAGGTGGAACTCTGATTTCTTATGAAGGAAGGGTTCAGGCATGTAACAGTTGCTGATTTCATATCTTCTTTACCAAGAATCATCTGATTGATTGAGTACACTGTCTGTAACAGATGTCCGAATCTCTCTTTTTAAAGCTAACTGCACTGTGATACATTCTATCCACAGCTTTTTATTGCCAAAGAGAAAAAAATTGAATTGAGAGTTCAATAATTGTGTTCTTCACTCCCTCTTTGGTTTCTGACCCTTAAAAGAAAATATAAGAAAATATGATCAATTAGAATTTTTTAAGGTATTGGCAGTGACATTTATCTTTGATGGTTCAATGCAGCTCCTGGAAATTGCCCAAGTCCCAGATGAACATGTAAGCTACTGAATCTGTTTTGTATTCTTTCATGGATCATTCCCCTTTCCCAAGTCAACCGGAGTGTAGGCAATCATATTAGTAAATTATGAAAAATAAGTATCAGGATTAACTATTGTGCATTTATGAATGAGAAAGCAATGACTTGCTTCATTTCAAAAGTTATATTTATCCTGCAATCAAGGGCCTTTTAGTTGAATTGATGCTAGTGGGTTGCTGAATATTTGTTTATGCAGGTCAGTGAATTTAAGTCCATTGAGAAATTCAAAATTTTCAACACAAATAATTTGTAAGTCACATGAGTTAGTTCCCCAATTGTTTTAAATTATATACTCATTTGGTGTATTGACAACTTATAGTCTACAGGTGGGTGAACCTAAAGGCAGTTAAAAGGCTTGTTGAAGCTGATGCTCTGAAGATGGAGATTATTCCCAATCCAAAGGTGCAAAATAGACATTTCAAGTGATGGGAGATGGCCCATCTTTTCCTTTTGTTTTTCTTTGACAGTGGTCCAATATTGTGGATTGGTTGCTGGGCTATTTGATACTCGGTTGGAAAATTGCTGATAAAATTTGTGAATTATAGGAAGTTGATGGAGTAAAAGTTCTTCAGCTAGAAACTGCAGCTGGTGCAGCAATAAGGGTACTGAATGTTTATTAAGATAAAATGCTCTTAATGCTGAAACTTTTGTGCGCTTAATATATATTATCTTTTGACAGTTCTTTGACAAGGCTATTGGAATTAATGTGCCTCGTTCCCGTTTCCTTCCGGTGAAGGCAACTTCAGACTTGCTTCTTGTCCAGGTTATAAACTTTTCTGATTCAAGCCTTGAGAACTTGCTTGGAAATTGATCGTTATCTTTTGTTTAACACAATTAGTTGTTTTGTTTTGCAGTCAGACCTTTACACTTTACAAGATGGATTTGTTAGTAGAAACCAAGCTAGGGCAAATCCTGAAAATCCTTCCATCGAATTGGGGCCAGAATTTAAGAAGGTTATAATCTGTTACTGATTACTTTGTGTTAGATGGTGAATATGTTATTGATTTGTTTCTCCTTCACAGGTCAGCAACTTCTTGAGCCGGTTCAAGTCAATCCCTAGTATTGTTGAGCTTGACAGTCTAAAAGTGGCAGGCGATGTATGGTTTGGAGCTGGTGTAATCCTTAAGGTTTTGGATTTACTCCCTTACTTGTATCTAGTTCTTTTGTTTTCTATTGTTTTGTTTCTTTCCTGGTGTAAATATGATTGTTACTTTAAGAGCAGGATAAATGCTTAGTGTTGCTCTTTTGATTGCTAGTTATAGAATTTCTCTTCTGAAATTTCCCACCTCAATTTTAAGTAGTAAATGCACGAAACCTTAGTAATTCCTCCCCAAAGGTCACTTATTCCCCAACAACCTTAATTTTGCGCCAAGCTCACACTCAACCACGTGCAGCTGAAATGTTCTTTTAAAATTCTCTGTTAAAGCTAAAAATTTCTTATGTTTTGGTTTGTTGCAAGTAAACTAAGACTAGAAGGAAAGCCATGCAATTATTTACTGATTTCCAAACAATGCATTTTTTACTAGTTTCCCCGTTTTATGTTCTCGCTGCTAGTAGTTTTCTTTTTGCCCTCATCGTTTTAATTAGTCTATAATTTATAAACATCTTATTATTTGGCTTTTTGATATCTGTTATCTTTCTGGTGTGCCTTTACAGGGGAAAGTAAGTATCGTTGCAAAACCTGGTATGAAACTGGAAATACCTGACGGAGCTGTGATTGCAAACAAGGTATTTTGCTTTACATATGGACCTTATTTATCAACGTGATCGCTAGAGGTTATCATTAGGCCTAAGGCTTGAATTTGTCATGCGCAGGAAATTAATAGCCCTGAGGACCTGTGAGAGAGCTGATGAGTTTTGAATTGTATCTGACTGTACAATCTTGACAGTCTTCTACTATAATTTGTGTGTTGCTCGAGGTTTGATAGGAAAAAAAAAAAATAAGAAGGCTGTTTTTGCTGAGCATGTCTGTATACGAAGCTTTGCTATTTATCTTGTAATTTTGTTTTTAACATTTGACAAGGACTCGTGGAGGATCATGTTTTATCCCCCTACCATACTAAGCGTTAACGCCTTCCATTTTGTAGAGCAATTTTAATTTCTCTAGTTTTTTGGGTGGTTACGATGAAGTTTCAAATGAGTGAAAAGTTAATTCAACAAAGAAAAGAAAACTATGGTTTGATTTAGGGTTTAAACCCTAAACCCTAAAACTAGTAAGAGAATAGAGAGTCAGCGACAGCTGCTAGTCTACCTCATTTGTTCACCATGTACTTAGGAATATATTTATTTAGGTCCTAATGTTTTTAGGGTAAATTAAGGTGGTTTGTGAAGAAAGTAAAATTGCATTATAGCTCACAACGTGAGCAATTGTGTATCATTTTAATTATTCATGTCATTTAGACAATAGTTATCTTGACAAAGAAGCTAAATTGACACATTTAAGGGTCATATGTAAATAACCTGTGACATTGCGGTATAAAGAGACTCGAAGTTAATGATTTTTATTTTTAAATTTCGTAGTTTAATCTCTAAATACTTGGATATTAGTCAAATTGGATTTCGAAGGATTTTTAACAAGTCAATTTACTCACTGAAAATTTTGTAATAGGTTAATTTGGTCTTCAAATGATTCTTAATTAGACAATTTAGTTTTTATAATTTGAAATTAACTACTTCGTTTTTTTTAACATTTTAGAATTATCTAACATTACCATATACTCACTAAAATTTATCATCATTGGAATTGCAAGAATTGAACCACCAAAATTTAATATTGCTATCGTCATAAACTATTATGATAAATTTTATAATGCTTTGTAAAATAAAAGAGTATCCTATATTTTCTTACACATGAAATAATTATGACTATAATTTTATATTAATAAATAGTTGAGTTAGTAGTTTATTTTAAAAATACATAAATATCCTTTAATTTTTAAGATATTAAAAGAATTATATCTTACAATCTAGAGAATATAAAATGCCTTCTTAAGTTTAAACGTACAATAACAAATACTAACTATTATTGACTCCTTTTATTAATACCACTCAACCATCATGCTTTTGTTATCATTTTTTCATTATCACCTAAAACTTACAACTCAAACACACAATTACTAAGTTAAATCACTTACCTTATTATTAAGACCTTGCAAACCAAGCCCATTAGCTAAAGAAAAAGAATTTCAGATTAAAGGGATAAGATTGATTAATTAAGAAATTTTTGAAAAATAACTTAATTGATTATAAATTATTTAGTAATCAAATTGATAAAATTTGATGTTAACAATACTTTGGCGACTAAACTAACATATTTTAAAGAAATTATGAATTATTAATCATGTTATCATTAAATATCATATTTCTCTAACATTTGATATTTAATAATGTGTCAAATTACTTATTCTTTAGAATAAATAATGTTTACGTAATAATAAGGATCAATATAATTAATGATTATATGTGTTAGAAATTACGATGCAAATTTTTTTAATTGAGAACCAATTTGATTTATAGAAACATTCTTTATTTTTACTTTTAATTATAAAATTTATACTTTATTTTTATTCTATTTTCTAAGATTTATATAAGAAATGGTAAAAATATAAAATTTATTTTTCGTGTTTCCTATACAAATATATAAAAATAAGAAATAAAATAAAAATATATATTTTTTGAACCAAACAACTCCTTAATGACCTACTTAGTTTATTCTAAAGATGTTAGAGATCAAAATAATAATTTTCTCTTTATTTATTGGTCAGTATAATTTCACAAAATAAAAAAAATGTTCTAAAGTCTAAATAAATGATAGAATAAGAAAAGTATAACCATGTATTAGCTAAACCTAATTATGTTATGGGTGTTCAAATATTTTTATGAATTTTTTATAATAATAAAATAAATATTTTTTACATATTTTTTTTTTATCTTAAGTAATGTACGTATTCTTTCCCGAAAAAAAAAAACTAATGTACGTAATTCTCAAAATCCTGGCGCATCAACGGTAGTATTTACATGTAATTTTAAAAGTATAATTTTAATTTACTATTAATTAAATTTTTTTAGATTGTTTTATAATCTAGTTTAACAATAATTAGATTGGATTAAACATATAATAATTAAATATATTTCTATTGTTAAAGTCTTGTATAAATTTCCTTTATATTACTTTGAAGCCTTTGATTTTAATATAATTTAAAAGAAAGTATTTACATAAAAAGATATCATTTAACCATGACAATATATGTTATAAACCTTTATAGTAACATTATATATCCAAATTAAATTTTACTTAAAATCACAAACTTTTTTTTTTCATTTTTATAATTCTTAAAACACACAAACGGAAAAGTATAAAAAATCAATAAATAATCCTTATACTTTTCTTGGACTTTGAACCCGAATATGATTTCACTTCTACCTATTTATTTATTTTTGTTTTCGCGATAATGAAACTCTTTTTGCCATTATTTTGCCCGCGGTCCTTTCGCGCATTTTCTACACACACACACACACACACACTGTCTTTCTCGCTAACCCCTCTCTGGTTTTAAGACATGCAACGAAACCAAAACATTAGCACTATCATTTGAGAGATGAACCCTAATTTCTCTCTCTGATCTGAACCCAACACTTCTCTCTTTCTCCTCAAAACACCTTTTATACTCATTCTCTGAAACCCTAATTACAATAACCATTCATTGCTTAACCTCATCAACTAGGGCGCAACTTTCCCTAATCCAAAGCAGAAACGGAACAAAACCCTCACTCAACTCCCAACACACTTTTCGACTTTCTACTACGAGTTAGTGAGTGAGTAAGAGCCATTTTTCTCTTGCTTTTCTTCCAATAAATTCCGTGTTTCGATTTTTTCGTTTTCATTATTCCCTTTGTCTGTGGTGGATTTTGAAGTTTTGAATATTTTGTATTTTACTTAAACGGAACTTCAAAGGATGATGCGGCGTTGCATCTCGTATTCCGACGCTGCAGTGCTTACAATTTTCTCTCAGTTACTCCGCTAATGCGGCATGCGTCATTGAGACACTGATGCTTCGCGCTATTTGAAGGCTACAAACCCTAATTTTTTGCCAGCATTTTTTTCGTGGATAACTGTTTTGTGAACTATTATTGGCTGAATAAGTGGAATATATTATTTAATTCGATGTTTATCGGAGTTGTTTTGATTTATATGTTGCGATTTTTTAAAGGATGTTTGAGTTTTACTGTCTCCATTGTTGTTGCTCATGTGCGTTTTTTGAGCTTTTTGTTTTAGTCTTCTCGACTAATTGAGTATTGATTGAGTTTGTGTGTCGAATTTTGAAAGTGTAGTTCTTGTAATCAGGGTGTCTACTGTGCTATGGCATTGTGTATAAGATAATTTGTTTGCTGGTTTTGAATTTTTTTTGTGGTTTTGGTAGGGACTCACTAGTGTCTCTTGCGATACTGATAATTTTCTTTTTGTTCCTGCGAACGGGAAAAAGCAGGTGTTTTGCTGTTATGATGGGTTACTACTGCTACTGCTAGACAGTTGTGTTCAATTTCTGAATGTTGTGAAAGTGGAGTCGTCTTTTACTCATAGCACTGAAGTTGTCCAAACACTATTCATTAAAAGGTACTATCACTAGAATCATTCTCTGTACATGCGCAAGGTTTGTGTACAAATTTCATTTGCGCAAAATATTTTTGGAGCATTTTTGCTTTTCTCTGATTATTTTTTGCACCCTCTGAGGAAAATCTGTATTGGAGACTAAAGAGAAATTTCCATCCCTGTACCATCTTTTATAAGTGATCTAATCTTTATGTAATGGAAAAAATTTCCCTAGTTTAATTTTGGGGCTCAAAGTTGAATAGCTCTGTTCTGTTGTGATTACTTGATTGATAAGCCACATATGAAAATGTAATAAAATTTTAATCCTTGGCGTACTTGAATATCAAGTTCAGATTAAACATGATGCAGTAGGACTATTTGTTCCTTTACATATAGTTTCAGAGCCAGAAGAAATTAGAAAATGGAGTTTACATCTGTAATTTTTTTGTTCAGTTTCTTATCTGTGTTTTTGTTTCTCTTTCATTCATAGTGGACCATGGCTGATCATCGGAATGGAGGTTCCCAAGCAGCCAATGGAAAGGCTAGTGCTGCAGGAAGTGCCTATTCTATTGATCTCAATGCATTTCAAACCAGACTGAGGGCATGTTATTCTCATTGGGATGAACACAAAATAGATCTATGGGGCTTTTCTGATGCAATTGCTGTTGCATGTCCTCCACCTTCAGAAGATCTGCGATACTTGAAATCAACTGCTCTGAACTTGTGGCTTCTTGGATTTGAATTCCCGGAGACAATTATGGTCTTCATGAAGAAGCAGATCCATATCTTATGCAGCCAGAAGAAGGCATCAATTCTTCAATCTGTCAAAAAAACTGCCAAAGAAGCAGTTGGTGTGGATATTGTTTTGCACGTCAAGCCTAAAAATGATGATGGAACTGCTCTAATGGATGCTATATTTCGTGCCATTCGTGCTCAGTCTAAGTCTGATGGTCATGATACTCCCACTGTGGGATACATATCGAGAGAGGCTCCGGAAGGGAAACTTCTTGAAGCGTGGGCTGAAAAATTAAAAAACACAAAATTTCAGTTGAGTGACGTGGCCAATGGGTTGTCTTCATTGTTTGCTGGAAAGAGTAATGAGGAGCTTACATCAATTAAGAGAGCAGCATATCTGACAACAAGTGTTATGAAAAACTTTGTTGTTCCAAAGCTTGAGAATGTAATTGATGAAGAGAAGAAAGTTTCTCATTCTACATTGATGGAGGAGACGGAGAAAGTTATCCTGGAGCCTTCAAAAGTCAACTGTAAACTGAAGGCAGAGAATGTTGATATTTGTTACCCACCAATTTTTCAGAGTGGAGGGGAATTTGATCTCAGACCTAGTGCTGTTAGCAATGACGAGTTACTTCATTATGACTCTGCCAGTGTGATCTTATGTGCTGTTGGGGCCCGGTATAAGAGCTACTGCTCAAACATAGCCAGGACCTTCTTGATTGATGCTGACCCTCTTCAAAGTAGGGCTTATGAGGTTCTTCTGAAAGCCCATGAAGCTGTCATTGGATCATTGAAGCCTGGAAACAGGTTGAGTGCTGCATACCAAGCTGCTGTTTCCGTTGTAGAAAGTGAGGCTGCTGACCTGATTCCGTACTTGACAAAGTCTGCTGGGACAGGCATTGGTATTGAGTTTCGAGAATCAGGTTTGAATCTTAATGCCAAAAATGAGCAGATAGTTAAAGAAGGCATGGTCTTTAATGTGTCACTAGGGTTTCAGAACGTACAAAGTGAGAGCCTCAAGTCTAAGAGCAAGAAGAACTTCTCTTTATTGCTTGCTGACACTGTCATCATAAACAAAGATAAAACTGAAGTTGTGACTATTATGAGCTCAAAAGCTCTAAAAGATGTGGCTTATTCTTTCAACGAGGATGAGGATGAGGAAATTCCCAGTGCAAAAGCTGATGCCAATGGTTCTGAGCCCTTGATGTCTAAGACTACTCTAAGGTCAGATAATCATGAGATTTCAAAGGAGGAACTTCGAAGACAGCATCAGGCAGAACTTGCTCGTCAGAAAAATGAAGAAACTGCACGGAGACTTGCTGGTGGTGGAAAGGAAACTGGAGACAACAGGTCTTCCGTGAGGACTTCTGCAGAACTGGTGGCCTATAAAAACATAAATGACCTTCCCCCTCCCAGAGAAATGATGATCCAGATTGATCAGAAGAATGAAGCAGTTCTCTTGCCTATAAATGGAAGCATGGTACCTTTTCATGTGGCTTTCATTCGAACTGTTTCCAGCCAGCAGGATACCAATCGAAATTGCTATGTCAGAATTATTTTTAACGTTCCTGGAACCCCTTTCAGTCCTCATGATTCAAACTCGATGAAGTTTCAAGGATCTATATATTTGAAGGAGGCTTCATTCCGCTCGAAGGATTCAAGGCACATAAGTGAGGTTGTGCAGTCCATTAAAACACTCAGACGACAAGTTGTAGCAAGGGAGTCTGAGAGAGCTGAGAGGGCAACCTTGGTTACTCAGGAGAAACTGCAGCTTGCTAATAATAGATTTAAGCCAATAAGATTGTCTGACCTTTGGATTCGTCCTGCTTTTGGTGGGCGTGGAAGGAAGATACCTGGTACACTAGAGGCTCACGTGAATGGTTTTCGTTATTCTACTACCAGGCAAGATGAGCGTGTAGACATAATGTTTGGGAATGTTAAGCATGCATTTTTTCAGCCGGCAGAGAATGAAATGATTACACTGCTACACTTTCATCTGCACAACCATATTATGGTTGGAAATAAAAAGACCAAGGATGTTCAATTTTATGTTGAGGTTATGGACATGGTCCAAAACGTAGGAGGTGGAAAGAGATCAGCCTATGACCCTGATGAGCTTGAAGAAGAACAGCGAGAGAGAGACAGAAAGAACAAAATTAATGTAGAATTTCAAACCTTTGTGAATCGGGTGAATGATCTATGGGGACAGCCTCAATTCAATGGCCTTGACCTTGAGTTTGATCAACCTCTTAGAGAGCTTGGGTTTCCTGGGGTGCCTCATAAATCTTCTGTATTTATTGTCCCTACTTCAGCCTGCCTTGTTGAACTGATAGAGACCCCTTTCCTTGTTGTGACACTTGGTGAGATTGAGATTGTGAATCTAGAGAGAGTTGGACTTGGGCAGAAGAACTTTGATATGACAATTGTATTTAAGGACTTCAAGCGGGATGTCCTCAGGATTGATTCTATCCCTTCTACATCACTGGATGGAATCAAGGAGTGGCTTGACACAACCGACATAAAGTATTATGAAAGCAGGCTAAATCTTAATTGGCGGCAGATCCTAAAGACAATTACAGATGACCCTCAGAGCTTTATTGAAGGTGGTGGGTGGGAGTTCCTTAATTTGGAAGCTACTGATTCCGAATCTGAGAACTCAGAGGAGTCAGACAAAGGATACGAACCATCTGATGTGGAACCTGAATCGGATTCAGAAGATGAGGCTTCTGACAGTGAATCACTTGTTGAGTCTGAGGATGATGATGAGGATGATTCTGAGGAGGATTCAGAGGAAGAGAAAGGAAAGACATGGGAGGAACTGGAGAGGGAAGCAAGCAATGCAGATAGGGAGAAAGGGAATGAATCTGACAGCGAAGAAGATAGGAAAAGAAGGAAGGCAAAAAGCTTTGGTAAATCACGAGCCAGTCTAAGTAGCAGCATGCCAAAGCGGGCCAAGTTAAGATAGATTTTGGCTGTAGTTCTTTACTGGTTTATGGTTTAGTTCAGTTACTCTAGTGTTTCTGCGAATAGCAGCTTTTGTGTTTGGAGGAGTTGTGATATCATTGTAACCTAGGCCTTTTCGTTCGTTAATATAGTTCAGCTTCAGCTTATTGTTAGCAATTCATGAATCCAATGTATGTCTTTATAATGTTTACGTGGTTGTCTCTTTTAGCAACTGCTGCAATTTTTGCTTCTCATTATGTCATCTAACTTCTTGTTTTGTGCTTTACTGTTTACATTCATTTTTTTTTGGCGGGCTGTTTTCTTTGAAACAACAGAAGAAGGATGAAGGGTAAAAGATGCAGGTTAAATACTTTGTTTTTGATAAATGGTTGAATATTTAATTTCTTTGTAGGACCTTGTATTATTTTATTTCATTTTAATTTTTTTTAATGTGGTGCGTATTCTTCTAAAATTTTTTACTTAGTTTTTATTGGTTGACCATCAAATCCTCTCCCATAACAAATATTTTCGGTTATTTGCAAGTCATTTTTAGAAATGGAGATTATAATGATTACATAATCTGATTATTAAAGTTTAGATTAATTATAATTATAATTTTTATAGTTTAACTTGTCTGTGATTTTTATTTTTTTTAAAATTTAATTGTTCTTGTTTAATCTTTTAAATTAATTTTTTACTCTAAATTTTATTTGTTAAATAAAATAATAAATATATATCATTAATTTATACAAATTTGTAATATATATATATATATATATGTATATACATACATATAAATAATTAAATAAAAATTAAATTTTTTATTATATTTTATTAAAATAATTTTTTATTAATTTATACAAATGAATATAATATCATATATTCATCAATTTTTTGTTAATTATTAAATATAATTTTAGGTTAAAATTTTAATTTAAATAATTAGAAAATTTAAAAGACAATTAAAATTAGACTAAAATTGTATATAAGTTAAAGTATAAAAATTAAAAGTGAAAATAAACTTAAAATTTGAAGTATATGAGATTTGTTTTTTAAAATTGTAGAAGCTTAATTATAAAAGAATATATTACAGAAAATTAATTACAAAACTAGTAAATTTCTCATATATTCTATGGATATTTTTAAACTTAAATAAAGTTTGTAAAAAAAATATAAAAAGAGATAAATAAAAATTTTAAAATTATGAAAAATTATAAAAACAAATTATCAAGTTATCCATACTTTTGTTATTTTTTACGACAAAACTTAAATTTCAGGACTAAATCATTCTAACTATTCTACGATAACAGACTCTTTAACGATGCCTTTTCAAAGAAGGGATAAAAAAATCAAGCTCTATATATTAAACTCGAGTTCTAGTTATTAAATAATAATTTTTTTAAGAGATATATTAAATAAGAGCATTTTTAAAAATTATTTTATATTTTTCATATCATGAAAATTATTTTATATTTAACATTTATTTTCTAATTTAATCATATTCAATATAGTAAAAATATTTATTTCTTAAAATTCATTATTTTTAAAATATAATATAATTTTAATTTAATAATATTTTTGGTATAGTACACAGACAATTTAATAGTTATATAAGAATATTCATTAATTTAAATTAATATTATAAAATTTAAAAAATAAAATAAAATAAATTACTTTTTAAAAAAGTATAAATAAAACTATATGTTAATTGTTTTCATACTCTTGTATCCTTTACATTAGTGCCTGGGCTTTCTATGATGGTATAATCATTGTTCCCAGACGAACCCTATTTTCCCTCTCTTCGAAATTCGAAGAGATGATATTTACTTTCCGTCATCTTTTTGGTTCCGATGATAGGTCGATGCTCCATCTTCCCCACAATTCACCGCACAGAGTATATGGTACGAATTGAAACTTCGATCTTGGAACCGTGCCCAATTTCGCCCCGAATTCATTGAAGGGAAAAAATAAAAAAGAAGAGCTTTGGCACACCCCAGCTGCAAATCGACCGAAAAGGTTTCGATGTTTTCCATTCTTGTGGGTTTAATTTTGGTTTTCATTATATCCTATAATTTTAGAATCATGAAACCCTAGATTTCGTCTTTGAAAGTACTAGCCATCTTCTTTTTGTGTATTTGTTTTAAACAAAATTGATTATCTGGAATTATTGGCTAAGTAATTGAAAGTTTTGGTTTGTTTATCATAGAGTTATATGAAATGATTTATTGGAGACTATCCAAATACTCATTCCTTTAGAGTAAGAAATTTGCCCTTAATTGTCTCAGTTAGTGTTACTGTATCACTTGCCCTGTGATTTGGCATTATGTACAAGGCAATTTGTATGTTGGATTTGAATTCCATCTTCATTGTTGAGGCCCTAATAACTGAAGCTTTATATTGTTCACAGGTAAACTTATATGTCAAAAAGATAGGCATTTCATGATTTTTGGACTGCTCTTGCTATGCATTGGTGTCTAGCTTTTGAAATGCTGTGAAAAGTTCAATCTTCTATTGCTCTCAAAATTGAAGTCTTCCACCAACTATTCATTGCACGGTAGCTCTACTGGAACTGATTACTGTATATATGCAGCAAATTTTCATTTCCTACTTGAATTTCTCAGAAGATTCTACCAGCCCTTTTAAATATATATATTTTTCATATGTGAATGTTTGTTGGAGTCTGAAGTAACAATTAGTCAATTTCTATTTTTTGTTTTTTTTTAATATTTATGGATGGATTCTTTTTCCTAGTTTAATTTTTAAACTTCAATGTGGAGGAAGAATATGACAATCACTAGAATAATTCATCTCTATTGCAACTGTGACTGACAAGCTAAATATGATAATGGAATACATTATTTATTGGTTTAATTTCTTGTTGAGACGAAACATCACAAACTAGGACTCCTTCCTTTAGGTACCCACTACCCACTGTTCAGTTGCTGAAATAGAACTGAAAAGTATTTTGCATCAGTAATTGTTTGTAAACTTTCTTATTAGTGTTACCATGCTTTTTTTTTTTTTTTTCAGAGTGGTAGCAAATTATGGCAGAACGTCGAAATGGAAGTACACAACCTCCCAATGGAAAGGCCAGTGCAGCAGGGACTGCATATTCAATTAATCTGAATGTATTTCAATCCCGATTGAAGACTTTTTATTCACATTGGGATGAACACAAAGCAGATCTGTGGGGCTCTTCTGATGCAATTGCAATTGCATGCCCTCCACCTTCAGAAGACCTGCGATACCTGAAATCTACTGCTCTTAACTTATGGCTGCTTGGATTTGAGTTCCCTGAGACAATTATGGTTTTCATGAAGCAGCAGATCCATATCTTGTGCAGCCAAAAAAAAGCATCTATTCTGGAATCTGTCAAAAAGCCTGCTAGAGAGGCAGTTGGTGCAGATTTTGTTTTGCATGTCAAACCTAAAAATGATGATGGAACTGCTCTAATGGATGCTATATTCCGTGCCATCCGTGCTCAGTCTAAGTCCGACGGTCGTGATTCTTCCACTGTTGGACACGTACCAAGAGAGGCTCCTGAAGGGAAACTGCTTGAAGCATGGACTGATAAATTAAAGAATACAGGATTTCATCTGAGTGATGTGGCCAATGGGTTGTCCACATTGTTTGCTGGAAAAAGTAGTGAGGAGCTTACATCAATTAAGAAAGCAGCATACTTGACATCCAGTGTGATGAAAAATTTTGTTGTTTCAAAACTTGAGAATGTAATTGATGAGGAGAAGAAAGTCTCTCATTCAACATTGATGGAGGAGACGGAGAAAGTTATACTGGAACCTTCCAAAATCAACGTTAAGCTGAAGGCAGAGAATGTTGACATTTGTTACCCCCCAATTTTTCAGAGTGGTGCAGTGTTTGATCTAAGACCTAGTGCTGTCAGCAATGATGAGTTACTGCATTATGATTCTGCCAGTGTGATTATATGTGCAGTTGGAGCCCGGTATAACAGTTACTGTTCAAACATAGCTAGAACCTTCTTGATTGATGCTGAACGTATTCAAAGTAGGGCTTATGAGGTTCTTCTGAAAGCCCAAGAAGCTGTCATTGGATCATTGAAGCCTGGAAACAGGTTGAGTACTGCATACCAAGCTGCAGCTTCTGTCGTGGAAAGGGATGCTCCAGACTTGATTTCATATTTGACAAAATCTGCCGGGACAGGCATCGGCATTGAGTTTCGCGAGTCAGGATTGAATATTAATGCAAAAAATGAACAGATAATTAAAGAAGGCATGGTCTTTAACGTGTCAATTGGTTTTCAGAATTTGCAGTGTGAGAATAGTAAGTCTAAGAACAAGCAATTCTCTCTGTTGCTTGCTGACACAATCATCATCAACAAAGATAAAACCGAAGTTGTAACTTCTATGAGCTCAAAAGCTCTGAAGGATGTGGCATATTCTTTTAATGAGGATGATGAGGAGGAAAGACCAAGCACAAAAGCAGGTGCCAATAGCGCAGTTATGTCTAAGACAACTCTAAGGTCAGACAATCATGAAATTTCAAAGGAGGAACTTCGAAGACAGCATCAGGCAGAACTTGCTCGTCAGAAAAATGAAGAAACTGCAAGGAGACTTGCTGGTGGTGGTAGTGAGAAAGGAGATAATCGTTCCTCTGCAAGGGCTTCAACAGAACTGGTGGCGTACAAGAACATAAATGACCTTCCCCCTCCCAGAGAGATGATGATTCAAATTGATCAGAAAAATGAAGCAGTTCTCTTGCCTATAAATGGAAGCATGGTACCTTTTCATGTGGCTTTCATTCGAACTGTTTCCAGCCAGCAGGACACCAACCGCAATTGCTATGTGAGAATTATTTTCAATGTTCCTGGAACCCCTTTCAGTACTCATGATGCGAACTCGGTTAAATTCCCGGGATCTATATATTTGAAGGAGGCTTCATTCCGTTCCAAGGATTCAAGACACATTAGTGAGGTTGTGCAGTCCATTAAAACACTCCGAAGACAAGTTGTAGCGAGGGAGTCTGAGAGAGCTGAGAGGGCAACCTTGGTTACTCAGGAGAAACTGCAGCTTGCTAATAATAGATTTAAGCCAATAAGGTTGTCAGACCTTTGGATCCGTCCTGCTTTTGGTGGGCGTGGAAGGAAGATACCCGGTACCCTTGAGGCTCATGTGAATGGATTTCGTTACTCTACCACCAGGCAAGATGAGCGCGTAGACATAATGTTTGGGAATGTTAAGCATGCATTTTTTCAGCCAGCTGAAAATGAAATGATCACTCTCCTGCACTTCCATCTGCACAACCATATCATGGTTGGAAATAAGAAGACCAAGGATGTTCAATTTTATGTTGAGGTTATGGACATGGTCCAGAACGTTGGAGGTGGAAAGAGATCAGCCTATGACCCTGATGAGCTTGAAGAAGAACAGCGAGAGAGAGACAGAAAGAACAAAATTAATGTAGAGTTTCAAAGCTTTGTGAATCGCGTGAATGATCTATGGGGACAACCACAATTCAATGGCCTTGACTTGGAGTTTGATCAACCTCTTAGAGAGCTTGGGTTTCCTGGGGTGCCTCATAAATCTTCTGTATTTATTGTCCCTACTTCAGCCTGCCTTGTTGAACTGATAGAGACCCCTTTCCTTGTTGTGACACTTGGTGAGATTGAGATTGTGAATCTAGAGAGAGTTGGACTTGGGCAGAAGAACTTTGATATGACAATTGTATTTAAGGACTTCAAGCGGGATGTCCTCAGGATTGATTCTATCCCTTCTACATCACTGGATGGAATCAAGGAGTGGCTTGACACAACCGACATAAAGTATTATGAAAGCAGGCTGAATCTTAACTGGCGTCAGATCCTAAAGACAATCACAGATGACCCTCAGAGCTTTATTGAAGGTGGTGGTTGGGAGTTTCTGAATTTGGAAGCTACTGATTCTGAGTCTGAGAACTCAGAGGAGTCGGACAAAGGTTATGAACCATCCGATGTGGAACCTGAATCAGATTCAGAAGATGATGCTTCTGACAGTGAATCACTTGTTGAGTCGGAGGATGACGACGAAGAGGATGATTCTGAGGAGGATTCAGAGGAAGAGAAAGGAAAGACATGGGAGGAACTGGAGAGGGAAGCAAGCAATGCAGATAGGGAGAAAGGGAATGAATCTGACAGCGAAGAAGATAGGAAAAGAAGGAAGGCAAAGAGCTTTGGTAAGTCACGAGCCAGTCTTAGTAGTAGCATGCCAAAGCGGGCCAAGTTAAGATAGATTTTGGTTTTCATTGTTAGCCAAATTATGGTTTAGTACAGTTGCTTTTTGTTTCCGCAGATAGCAGCTTTTGTGTTTGGAGGAGCGGCCTTTGCCCTCTTAATATCGTTGTAACTTGAGCTTTCCCTTCCATAATATAGTCCACACTGGATAAGAATCCTTGAATCCAATGCATGTCGTTAAGAGTTGTTTTATTCCTCTCTTTTCACTGTTGCTTGTGTGTTTTTTTTTTTCCTCCACTCTTCCATGCCAGCTATTAGACCTAACTTGTTTTACTCCAATTTGTTTCTAGTTAAAATTTCAGAGCATCATTTTTTTTTATTCTCAACTGTATTTTTCAATTTGAGCACTGATAAAAAGAATTGAAATTAACAAAAGTTGGCAAACAACAATAAATGCATTCTTTCTTTGTATTTTGTTAGTGCTTTTGGAGTTCAACTCAAGCCTCATCCACTTTGTTGGGGTGATTGAACCCAGGTGTTGCCTTAATCAGATGTTAATAATCATTCTGACTTTTACGTCCGCCCTTACGATTTAAATCCGTTATTATGCAGACTGTGTCTGTGGAACTGGGGAAAACAAATAAGGCAAAGTGGTATTAACACCATTTCTTTTGATATCCGGTTCGTGTAAATATTTTCGCACTATTCAATCAAACACAATGTGTTCACAGATCATTAAAAATTAACTTCTGTGACAATCTCTGTCCTGATACTTTTTTGTTGTTGTTGAATTAATGTTATTTTGAGCGTAAAAAACTCATTGACATTGCTCAAAATCATTCCTTAACACCTAAGTAGATAGAAAAAAAATTGCTTTCGGTTTGTCTTTATTTTAACAGCGCCTTGTAATAGCACATATTGAGAGAATTATAAGGAGTTATGTTTTTATTTTTTTTTATTTTATTATTCAAGTTATACTCAGGTAGAGAGTAGTCAAAATGGGCTGATTGGGCTGATTAATTTATATGCTCAACTGAACAAAGTCTTTTTTTTTTTCACGAATAAACTTATGTTTTGTAATATAGATGATGCTACCGATTAAAATTAAAGTTTTATTTTAATAAAATTTTGTATTTAATACTACCATGTTATTGAAGTAAATCGCTAATTTTAATTAATAAATAACATTAATAACATTTATAGAACTACGCTTAAGATTTGTCACTATTTTTTCCTAATAACATTATCTCTTTCTTCCATAAACAAAGTTTTGAAATGTTAGTCACTTCTAAAAATAAAATTTTGGAACCGGAAGGGTGGTGCCAAAGAAACCATAATATATAAACTGAAACAACAAAACACAAGTTATTGTAAAAAACTGCCTGTTTAGTTTCTTAATTTATTAATTAGATAAAATTACGTTTCTCTTTTTCTTAATTTATTCTTTTTAACTTCATAAAATCAGAGTTATTTTGATGAGTCAATGAGCCGAGAAGCACGTTCCATACCTTGCATTGGGTGTTTGGGTGACTAAACTGACCAAATGTCAATCCAAAACATAGTGAGCTTGTTTTAACCCTAAACTACGTGGACCCAAAAAAAAAAAAAAGAAGCCTAATACTATGGAAACATTATGGGCAACTTTGTTAGTTTTAATGTAGACTGAGGGCTTGGTTTTATAATATAAAATAAAATTGTTAACTAACGGTTAAAGATAATTAATTAATAATAATCAATTTTGTTAAAAGAAAAGTATTTGTCATATTTTTATAATTTTAATATAATAAATATTTAATTTTTATTTATAAATACTTAAAAACTCAGTCCTAAAAATAAAACGTTTTATACACCTGCTTCAAATATTTAGTATAATTCTTGTATATAATTTGAGTCTCTATTTTTTAGAATGAAAACATTTTTTATAAAATATTTTTTTACTAAGTCACGTGCTATTTCTTACACTAAATATTTTATAATTAAAACTTGACTTTCGATGTACCATTTCATATTACTAAACAAAGAAATAATACATCATGATTTATACAATTTATTTTAATAAAATTTTCAATTGCTAAAAATCTAACTTTTAAATTTATTTTTATCTAATAGAATAGAATCGTTAATATTTACATTGAAGATATTTTTTAATATACTTTTTTTTTCAAATATATGATTCCAACATTATATATGGTGATACTTATTTTTTATTTATATATTTATTTTATTTTTTAAAGATTACCTTAAGTTTTAAATACTTGTATAATGTACTTGAATTTGCTATGCTACAGTAGAGATTTTATACTTGTAGTCAGTGCTGAGATTATTATTAAGTAAAATTATATTTTTTTTATCCTTTAAGTTTAATTTAAGTTTTCATTTGGTTTTCTAAACTTCATTAAAATATATTTATTATATTTTCAATGTAATAAATCATTTTTGATAAAAAATTACCACTTACTTAAAATCAATCATAAAAGTTAATGTAGACATCTTTCTTTCTTTTTTTATTCTAATTTTTCATTTGTTAAATCCGACAACACCACAAAGTCCTTATCATGCTTTTGATTATAGAATTATTTCCGTTGATTTGTTGCCAACAATGCTACTTTTGCACCATCAAAATATGCTTTCACACCAAAAGGAATATATAAAGAAAAAAAGATAGAGATAGTTCTAATCCAATGCATTTTCCAACGGTTTTATAATGTAGACCAATTAGAATGAGGTTGACTGCAAAGTCAACAATAGAAAAGCCAGATTACTTAAGGAGCACGCAGAAGAAAAGCTCAAACAATAATCTGCTTCTGTTCATAGATTCTCTCAGCTTTTTCTTTCCCTTTTGTCGTTTTAATTGATTTAAGTCTTTGTCTTTGTTTTATTAGCTCTGCTTAATGAAATAGAAGAAGTGATCTTCAATCGTAAATTTCAGTAATTCTCAAGAAATTAAATTCACTGCTCTTCACATTCTTGGCAACCCATCAAGGTATTTTTATTCTTTTAGTTCCATTCAGTTACTTTTTCCATCTGGGTATTCATTTTCTTCTATGATCATCATTTTTGTTTACTAAATTCTATTATCCATTTTCCATGTTTCATTTTATCTCTCTGGGACATGTTGGATGTTTTATAATGACATGCTAAAACAACAATGCTTTCATGAATACATACACGTAAATATATATGTCAACATAGTCTGCATTCAATAAGAGAGTTATTGCCTTTATTTTTTTTTTCCCTAATGTTTTCTATTCATGCTTTATTTACTGGTAGTGAATAAAAAGTGTGAAACACTTCACATGGAAAACTTCGTCTAATTTAGCATTTTCTTGGATGGTGCTAAAATCTAGAGACTTTACTGTCTGTTTCTGTGTATCTCTTGGGAAAGTTTCTTCCAAGCCACAGGAAGTTTCTTCCAAACTTTTAAAATATTCAAAGTCAACACGATTTGAATGATCATAATGAATGGTTCTTCCTTCCTTTAGAAAAAAAAATTCCACTAGCCTAAAATCAAGTGCATTAATCACGTTCATCTGTTAGTTCATAGGCCTTGATCAAGTGGTGGAAAATCGATTCTTGCCTTGAGAATCACCGGTTTGAATCAATGAGTATGGAAAATGAGAGTTGTGGAGCTGTTTGCACCGTATCTCATGATAGCAGTGTTGGTCTTGTTTGCCACTATCAGTTTGAAAATGGGTCATCTCAGTTTGTGTTCATGGATGTTGACCATGAAAGTGGAGCTTCCCTTAATCATTCCCTCAGCTTCTTCACTGATAGCTTTGTGCAGACCCTTGCTTCTTGCAATGGCTTAATTCTCTTGTCTGGTTATAGTGAGGATCAATCATGTTACCATGTGTTCAATCCCCTCACCAAGCACTCTATCATGATCCCTCAAGCATGTATCCAAGGGCATGTTGTTAGAGTTGGATTAGCCTTTGATGGATGTCAATTTGAGGTTGTGCTTGTTGAAGCAGGATCTTCAAAATCCAATGAACTAGAATTGCATGTTTTCTCTTCTGGCACTAGCAAATGGAGGAGCCACCTCCCCATCAACATAACTGTGCCTTCTTTGCCTGATTTTGAGTTCCAAGAACTTGGCACACCTCCTCTTTACTCAAATGGGGCAATCCATTGGGAAATAGGTGGCTATTTGTTGGTTTACGAAGTCCAAAATAGCCATTGTGAATTATATGAACTACCAAATTTTTTTGAGGATTGGTCTTGGCAATCAACAATGACTTATCGCCGTTCTTTGTGTGAATCAAGAGGCCGTGTTTACTATTGCTACACTGATTTTGATGGTTTTCATATTTGGAGTCTTCTCAATGATCATGATCATCTTGGATTATTCTATTCTTATGATTCCAAAAGATTAAGGTGGAGACTAGTCCACAGTGTCATGCATAAAGTGTTTATGTCTAGGTACCAAAACTTTTGCGGCAACTTCTGTGATTGGGAGCCTTACAAGATCACACCAATTGCCTATAGTGAACAAACACAAACCATATTTTTGCAGCTTCCTGGAAGTGTTGTTTCTTACAATTTTAATACAGCAAGTTTGAGATCAATATGCACCTACTCATATCCAGGCATAAACTTCAATTGCTGTTCATTCTTTTCTTCATCTGCTTCTGGGCATCACAATTCACAAAGAGATAAGGACTTGCTGACTAATGAAGAAACGGAGCTAAATCTCCCTATAGCAGAAATGGAAAAGTTAGCACTTTAAATCAAGTTTTGGCATAGTAATGATGTGATTGTATGCGTCAATAAATTCCATACAAGCTATGTTAGTAGTAATGTTATTTTGGTTTGTAAACATTATGTGGAAGCATCTATTTGTGTGTATGTTTACAGAAAAACATTTGAATGTTTACTAAGTTAGACATGATTATCTTTTTTTTTTTTTTTTTTTTTTTTTTTTTTTGAGCTCTATGTGACCATCAAGCACTTTTTTTCTTGATCAAACACCATAACATAAAGAAACAGGAACAGCTTGAGCCATTCTATAGGCCCTCCATTTGGGCCTTTCTCTATTTTTCTGGGTTAATAGAGAAAGGCTAGACATGGGACAGCCTGGGCCATTCTACAGGCCTTTCATTTGGGCCTAATATAGCTTCACCTACTCATCAACTTCTTACATCATTAGTGACATGGATTTATAAATTATTTTCGAATTTTTAAAAAATATATTAAATATATTTTTATAAATTAATTTATGAAAATGATAAAAAAAAAGGACGAAATAATAACCAAACTTTATACCAACTCATAATACGACCACATAGTCTCAGACCCAAAAGAAAAAGGATTGGAAGTTGGAACATTATTCGTTCTGCTGTACCATGTAGCTGCATAATGGGTTTTTATTTACAAATAACATTAGGATTTTATATCAGCAAACAATATCATTATATTCAGTAATAATATTATGAAGTTAATCAGAATAGATTGATAATGTAAAAAGATAATTATATTGATATTTAATTATAAGTTGTTATAAGTTAAAAATTATTAAATTTTATGATAATTATTTTAAAAGTCATATCATAGGACTTTTAATTAATTATATTGATAGTGTATGTATTAAAAAGAAACCCATTATATGGGAGAATTGGTATCATTAAAATGGGCCATTAATTGATCAATTCAGCTTCGTGGACTACTGAGATACCTGAATATGGACCAAACATCAATAACAGACTAAGCTAATGAGAATTAATCCTCGGCTTCAACAGTTCTCAACCATTTTATTAGTTAAATCAATTTTAATTTATTACTTAAACTGTGATATTTTAATCTGAGTTTAGCCTAATTCATTTGAAGTTCTTTTTTTTGGGTCAACATTTGAAGTTCAAAATAAACTTTTAATCAAAAGATTCATAAGAGAGTTAAAAGAAAAATATTATCAATACTTATATTATAAACCTCATTTTTTTAACATGAGAAGATATTTTATTTTATTATAGTCATGGCAAGTGACTTCTTCATTGTTTACTATTTAGTACTTATTTTATATTTTTTGAAAATTTTATTTTACTTTAGAATTTGATTTTATCCTGAAATCTTAATTTTAATCATTATTAATCATTTCATCTCAAATCTCAATTACTTGTATTTCTAATTTAATTGTACAGTTTTAAAAACTTTTCTTTCTTCTAAATTAAGCTGCTTATTTTATATTATTTTAAATATACATATTTATATCATTCTTTTGAGTATATTTGTATTCATATTAAAAACAACTAAGAATGCACTCTTTTCTTTATTTTCGGTTGAGTTTATCAAGGCTCATGAAATAAAAATAAAAAAAATACTTTCGATTCAATGAGTTTCACATGTGATTGCATAAAAAATTAAATTAACAATTATAAAAACTGTATTATAAACATTGTAAATCTCATATTTATACACTTAGTAGCCAAACTATCGAATTATAACATTCTAAACCAAAATGCAATATCTTAGGTGGCTTATAAGTTAAATATTTCTTCTTCTTCTTTTTTATGTACGCATACTCATCAATTCTGTTTAACCACGTGCTATCAAAGAAATGGTTACACTTACACGTATATATATATATATATATA